AATAATTGCTCATCCCTAATTTTAAAGGTGTGTTTGGCTGAGGGTGTTTATTTTTATGGGTTGTTAAAACATTACTGTCTAATTATAAGGAGAAGAATGGCTTCTAGAATTGGGTAGACATTAATTTTAAAGACTCAAGAGACAGCTTGATCGGGACCATTAAGGCCTCAAGCAGAACCTAAAATTTCATGATATTAATATATGCAGCAGATTAGTTATTGGGAACTCTTTCTCCTCCCCCACCAGGAAAATTCACTACTTTCCCCAAAGGTAACAGAAAATATTTCTAAACGTACACGGTGCACTAAATTCCACAAATGCAGACCTCCTGGAAAGCTACTAAAAGGAACCATACTTCAGATACTTTAACAGTCTATCTCTTGTGGATGTTGTGTGCAGGGGCTAAAGAACAGCCTAGAAGATCAAGAGGATGAGATTTGCCATGGGCTGTGTAGAATGTGTGCAAAACTTTTGTAGAAAGGTCAGACAAATTCGGAGATAAAGAACAAAACAAAACAACCCTCTCCACACACAAAGTTCATCTTTGACTAGTGAATGCCTCCACCTTCAAAATCTGGCCTCTGACTATGACTACTCATTCTTTTCTGGTATGAAATACTCTCAAATGGATATGGAGAAGGAAATGCTAGATTCTGTGAAGCTGGCCCAGGGATGCGGGGATTTCTGGGAAAGAAGCATCCAAATGCTTTCTTCCCCATTTTCCATTAAGTTTATATAAGCCAGAGATCATAGAAGCAGTTTCTGAGTAAAGTCGCACACTCTCCCTTCACCCTCTAACAAAAACCATGCACATTGTGTTTCCTGGGCCGTCACTTCACGTTCTCGGTTGTCGAGTCTAAAGTTTGGACTCTTCAGACTTCTGACTTTTGCCCTTTTCGTGTCTGCAGGCAATAACTCGGGAGGGCCAGGCAACTCTCCCTCTGCACTGGGCCCTAACTCCCGCTTTGTCTTGACTATGGGGCCCTCTCTCAACTTCTCTAAGGTGCTTTGCTGAACCTCAAAGCCTGGCTGCCCTCACTCCTTTATTTTCCCATAACCCTTTGGGTGTCACTTTGCCACTGAACTGGACGATTTTGTTATCATGACTGGCAGTTGTATCCCCTAGGGCTGTGGTTCTGGAAATTGACATGTCAGAATCATTAGTTCTTAATTAAACGTCAACTAATTGGGAATCTTCAAGGAGTAGAGACCCTGGCAAGGTATCTTTAAAAGTAGCAGTTCTCAAACTTTTAATCTGCAAACTGCTTACCCGGGGACTCCGATTCAGTGACAACTAGGTAGAGCCTGAGAATGTGCCTTTCCAACGAGGTCTGATGGATGATGCATTGCTGAAGCACCCCAAGATTGCTCCCCACAAATCAGACGTCTTACTTGTACCTGGATACAAGTTTCTATCTTACGTTCACACATTGCCACAGAACTTAGAACTCTTCCTTCATATCCTGCTAGCCCCGGCTGCCACCACAACTTTAGGTTTTCCCCATAAGTGCATTCCAGCTCTGCCTTGTTCTTGTGCTCATGTTAAGTCACAGAATACAGCAGAAGGCTGAAGAACATGAGGACAAGAGGACAAAGGTCAGGGCTGCCCCTTCTTCCCTGTACGGATCTCATGGTTCCTTCGGTGCTGCCCCAACCTTGGTCTCTTTCCTTGCTGGCTCTTGTCATCTTATGTGCCTGTACCCGCTGGCTTCGCTGTCTACTCTCTCTCTCAGTCTCACATTTTCTTTCCTTCCCGCCTGCCCTTTTGACTCGATTTGAGCAGATCCGCACAAACGCAAACCAATGTCTGTAAGGCAAAGCATTTTCCTAAAACTTAAATACCGTTTGTTCAAGTCCATGACTTTTCCTCAGTAAGTGCTTCTGTCCTTCCCTGTGTAGATTGGATTCATCTCTTTAGTTTTGGGCAAAACTATGCTAGGCTCTGAGTAATTACTGCTTGCAGCACTGATGACGCCATCACAGTTTGTCTTTCAGCCTTTGTGTAGGTTCACACACCGACTTAACTACAGCCCGTGGCTCCCAGAGCTCTCAACAAGGCTGCCCGGTTGCTTCAGGGCACTCAGAAGGAGAGATGGCAAAACGTCATGGCCACACAACTCCGACCTCTGCCCACCAATTTGCCATTACTAGCTAAAGGTAGTTCACAGATTTTACAGAAGGTGGCACTATATTCCTTTTGATGATGTCATACTGAGTGCGGGGATTCCTGTTAGTGGCTGAGACTGGAAGCATCTACATTGTAAATGTCAGGGTAGAAAGGGCAACTAGGGGATGAAATCCAATCTTTTTGAGAAGGTGTTCAAAACCATGTAAGTGACTATGATTAAGAATAAAGTAAAAGTATTAGTTTATTTTAACTTATATGTATAATCTTTTCATAGGGTTACTGAGCTGTTAAGAGAAATTATTATTGAGTTGCTTTAGTCTGTTTACTACATGAGACCATTAGATATTTGTTTCTGTCCAAGGCTAGCCTGAGAAACATTCCTATGACCTGAGAGAACTTTGGAATCTCTGCCTTAGTCCAATGTTTTTTTTTTCCTCTAAGGTTTTCAGACGCAATTAGTCTGGAATAGTCTCATCAGCTGCTTTTTCTTCCTAGTTGGTTGAAATTAAAGGTTGTCCCATGTGTCGTCACACTGGAGGCCCATCATGCTTCTCCCCTTCTTTTGCTTTTTGGGGGGTGGGACTGAACCTGGGGCCTTGGCACGTTAGGCAAGCATTCTTCCATTGAGCTACCTCCCCCGCCTTTTCTCTTTCATTTTGTAAAATCTGTTCTTATTTTCTTCTACTTCTAATTAGAAAATAGGCCCATTTGTCTGTCGGTGTCACATTACTGCAGAGACAGATCTGGAAAACAGCCACCTCAGCAGTTTGAGACGGACTCTTCCATCCCCGGCAGCACCCCTGGGTGGAGGGACAATGTCAGTTCTTGCTTTTGATATTTTTCTTCTCTTGTTATTATTCCCTTGAGTGTTATGATTTGAGGAGGAGGAAGGGCAGCAGAAAATGGCAGAAGACAGTGTGGGATGAGGAAGGGAACTGTGTCTTGCTGCCAGTAGACTATCCAGATCCAATGAGTCAGGGAAAGATACGACTGTGAAGGGATTTCACCATTAATCACCACATTTTTCAGCCACCGAGATTTGCTAATTACCTTATTTTGCCTTTGAAGTGCTACAGAGCTCAATATTCAACTTCACTTCATTATACATAGACGTAGTGGGGCACGTACAATGAGGTTCTCAACATTTAGAGACCTCAAGCACACGCTGTATATTAGCCAATGGTGCTCATCTCTCTGGTGCTGCCCTACAACTCCAGCTGGGAATGCAGCTGCCTGAACTTCCCAGGTGAAGAAACCAAAGCCTGGAAGGCTCGCTTACCCATTCAGGGTCCTGGCAACTGGCAGTTTAGTGATGAAGATTTGGACCTGTACATCCGTAGCTTGCAACTTTCCTCTGTGGCTATTTTCCCTGTCACAATTATAATCGTGAAACCCATTGTGCTGCTACCATCCTGGACTTCAAGAATCTGTGGTATTATGGAAATCAGATGGTATCACAATTTGGGAAGGAAAAAAAGCGGGGGAGGGGATTTCAATCATTTTTGACAAAGTGCTTTTTAAAGCTTAATCTTCTATGGTAATAATGCTATTTGCATTGTGAAAACGCTTTAAAGATTAAAATAAAAACTATTACTCTATTAACACAGTGGTGTCAAGTGGCACAGAGGAAATGAAGTATAAGCAGGGAAGATTCTTTTCTTAGTGGTCCCAGCAGGTGTGAGTTGCAAAGCAAATTGGTTACAAGATCCTTGGGGCATCAGTGTTGCTGTTCACCAGGTCTCTGGATATTTTCCTCTCTTACTTTATGCCACATTAATAATTCACTGTACTGGAACATTGCCTGGCTACCTCAACCCAAGCTACCTTCATTTATAGTGGTAAATACTTAAGGAGAATATTTGCACAGAGTTATTCAGGGGTATTTGATCACAGATTGAAATGTGAACATGCAGCCTTAGGAATCTGCAAAATTTATGCTGTTTGCATGCTGTCCTGATGAAGGTGTTTTAAAATCAATCATAGGCAAGGGCATTTTATCATCTGTATTTTTATGTTCATTCTGAGTGTAAGAGATGAGTGACAGTTATTTTCTTGTCCGTTCCACCTACTGAAATGCAGAATCTGCAGCCTATGTACTGGAGACCCTGGCTTGTCTTTTACATCTTCGCCTAGGTCAAATTTTCTTCAGCAAGATAGCTTGTGACATGAGTAGATGAACTTATCATAACCATTGAGGAATTCTGCCTTGCTGAGTGAGTTCAGGACCTCACTCCTCACTCTACTTTCTAGTCAATAAAATGCATCTTTCCTCAACGTTGCTACAGTTAAATCCTAAGAATTTAAGATGCTTGGTTCTGGCCAATTATCTGGAATAAGACTAACCACTCCCACTCTGAAGCAACAGTGACTACTATATCTATTGTCTGCGCCTGAGTTTGGCCAAGAAAAGGCAATTTTTTTTTCTGAGAGCCAGGGGTGCAGGGAGAAGCAGAGTTAAGAAACAGTTAAAGCCTCAGAATGTTTGCTTTCAAATTGAGAAAAAGGACTTGCTCTTCTCACAGCAAAATCGCTCCATTTCTATTTTTAATAGGCCCCACTTTAAAGACTAGCTGGACCCCATTTTTCCAGCTAAAGTAAAAAATTAGAGGATTTATGATAATCTTCCAGTGGATGGTTGTGGGCGGTTCGTTTTCCACTGAGCATTCGCTCTCTGTTGCACTGCTAATATTTCTCAGCTTCTTGCTACACTTTCATCCCACAACTACTCAAGCGAGGAGAGAAAAAGTCTCACCAGATAAACAACAATTCATACTGTATTGGGGAATAGTTTACACCCTCCCTGTCTATTTCTTAGCAGTAACTTCTTGGGGCCTTTAAGTCTAGACTGTCAAAGCACCCAAAGGAATCCTACCTTGCCCACGTACTGATAATCGGATCCTGTGTATTCCTCTAGGAGGAAGAACTGATTCCACATCCAACTCCTTTTCGAACGGCTCAGCTCATTCCTGCTGTTTGCAGAGAGCTCCAGGGCCCTCCTCTTTGCTGGGAAGTCACTAGTCCTTTTAGATAACGGGCTTGAGAAAGTTGGGTAGGGCTGGCCAACCCAAAAGAGCAGCAAGATGTACGGGTAAGTTCTCATGCTGATGGCAAGGTAGGCAAGGCACGCGAGTCTCTGGACAGTGAGTTCCTCTTTCCTTACAGCCTCTTTTCACTGCGCGGGATCCAGGCTCATTCCTCCTCTCGTCCTTAGTGTTCTTTGCTTGGCTCTCAGGAGGTATCTGGAAAGAATAATAACGTATCAAGCAGTTTTAGAGATGCTTAAAATTCAGTGTTAGAGCAAATAGGCAGGAAAAAGAGCACAGAGATTTGAATAGCAAAATAACAACAAAAAAGTTGGCTATCAATTTTGAAACGAGGAAAACAGTCTTTTAGGTACGCAGAATGGGATATGCAGAACAGGAGGCACGAGCCCAGCAGGAAATGCTCTTTCTGATTTTCCTTTTATATCTCGCACAAATCCGACTTTAAGTAATAGCTTTGCTAGAGTTCAACACACCACGATGGATCATTTCACTACTCGTTTGCTTTGGAATATGTGGGCTGAGATCTGGTTAGAAGCGATGCGTTTGTGTTTCTGATTCTATTTGCATATTTATCTCCACGAGCAAGTCCAAGCAAAGAATACCACAGACAATTTCAATTCAATTGAAAGTGGATCATTTTGAAGTTGCCCTGGAATAGACTGAGCACCTGTGATGTGCCAGGCACAAGGGGAGCCAGAACATGCTCTGCAGACTCTTGGCTGAGGAGATGTGCTATGATGGATAAGCCGGGTCAAATAAGGTTGGAAAACACCATACGCCTTCTCTTCAAAAATGCAGTTTGCAGAGAGAAGCTTCTGAAGTGATCTATATATACATATATTTTTCTTTGTAATGGTATTAGTAATCTTGCATTTAATTAAAAAAACCTAGCAAACTTGACCAGGCACACACACTCCTGTCCCTAGGCCTGCTGTACCATGAGACCTGTTTACACTATGAAAAATTATATAGAATTTATATTTAAGAATCCTGTAATATATTTTCTGTTGGTCACCTGTCATGTGCTGTTTAAGCTCATTGAGGAACTGGCTTTAGAAACTTAGTTGTCTCAGAATGTCACCAAAGAGCACTTGTCTGGGGATAGGCTGCTCCCATAACTCTGTGACAGGGAGGAAAGAGGTCAGAAAAGCAGCCCAAGAGTAAAAACATTGCGTCTTAGAGAACAGCTAAAAGGTGAGCCACTTCCACCTGAGGTGACTATTGTCTGTCCCATTCCAGGAAAATGCCTACAGTGGAAATAGGGAGTTGCACGTTGAACCATGGGACACCCATCCATGGAGAGAAAACTCAGTTGGGAACTCCAGTTGACTGCCTCAACGTCTCTAGTCAGTTTTTTTCTGGATTTTATGAACTCTGATTTGATGGTCTTTTGTTTGCTCTCTCTGTTAGATTACCCTAATCATTTCTACTGGAGACTGTAAGTTCCTGATTTGATGATGTCTATCTGCTGTTTCTACCTATCAGGCACTTACTGTTTACCTCTTCACTTGAAACCAAAAGGATGGCTATGGTAGATCTTCTCCCAGATCATACAGAATAAACTTGTAAGTAATATTCCAATTTCCTTAGGAAATCCTTGAATTGTATCTCTAAATTTCACTTGTGTTGTCAGCAATCAAATTGTTCAAATAGTTTCTGATTTCACAAATGCATTAAGCATATCCCAGTATTATAGCAAGGACCACTGATTATGTGGTTTTTCAGAGAAGTCAGCTATTAAACAATGTGGATAATTATATTCCATGGCAAATATTAACTTTCAAGAATATAACCTATTATTTAAAAAAATTCTGGAGCCAGACTCTTGGCAAAGATGTCCAGCCTGATTCAGTGGCTTATGCAATTAAAGTCATACATGCCATATCTCCTTCCTATACTTTCCTCCTGCCTTGCATCCAAAGACTGCTGTCATTATAGTCCTGCTCCACCATATCTGGCCTACATTCCTTGGAAAAAGGAATTCAATGAATCCAACAGATGACATGTTTATCATCCTATTTGAGTATTTTCTTGAGTAATGCACCAATAACTCCAAGAACTTTGTGATGAGAACACAATGGTTACTGGGTGGGGCCATCCTCTCTAAACCATACAGATAAATACTGTGGGTAATTGGTCCAGTGTTTTGTTTCTACTTTATCCCTACTATCCTGTCACACCAGTGCACATAGCTGACAAGGATTTCAACTTTGAGTTGTTTTTCAGCCCAGCCATGAGTAATTATAGACATTTAACACGAAACTGAAAGCATTCTATTGGGAGGGAGGGGAAATATTCCATCATGTTCAGTATCTTCAAACCTTTATTCGATTATTATGCATCTTCCTGACAGCAGGTTGGGGAAGTTGAAAGTTCCACAGGTGACAGAGTTTGCACTGTGACGATTAGTCAAGTTGGAGTAATGCCAGGCCACAGTGCACTCATCAGGCGTCTGCCTCAGCACAGGTGCGGGCTGACCAACGATCTGTAAGGTAGGGATGCTTCTTCCTTCTCTTGTTGGTTGGAGCAGTGAAGGGACCGAGAGAGCATGTGGAGAAAAGCTCTCCAGAGACACTTTTTCATTTTTAGAAATAGAGATTACCCTGAGCTTGATTCAGTGAAGATTACATTTTTTTCTTAATTTCCCACATCCGCCATTATTTGCAAAGACAAACCCTGCAGTGAAGAATTACACGTCTGCTGCTCTGCTCTGTGCGTGCCCCATGGTGCTGGCAGGAGAGAGGGCTGCAGAGAATGGAGGTGTCAGCTGTTGAAAAGCCGACTCCTAAAGGCCATTCTAAAGAAGAGTCGATCCCTGTGGGCGTTGTATGCAAACTCTACAAGCTGTTGCCACTTGAATATTAAATATTAGTTCTTTTTTAATACCACAGATACCAAAATGTCAAGTATTTCATTTTTTTCTTAGTTAGGAGTGAGCTTTTAAAGCGATGCAAATTTAAGCAGTTTCCATGTTCACTGTAATGTTAGTATTGCTATGATCCAGCTCCTGTATCAATCTGACAGGCAGAGACCTAATGAAAAACTCAATATGCAAAACGCAATGACAACGATCTGCTCATATTTGATGTTAGTTTTTTTAGAAGGGCATATTTCTATGTAATTTTATCTTTGTGAATTTGGGAAAATTGCCTAATTCCATTTGACCTCAGGTTTTCTTTTGTTGGCAAGGTTATTTTAATATCTGTTCCAGAGAGGGGCAGTTTGAGGAGGAGTAAAATGAGTCATTACATACAGAGAACCTGAGATGGTGCCTGTCACTTAAAAATGTATTGCCAAATATTAACTTTTATTATTCTTGTTAATACCATTTGCATTGCAAACGCAGATCCAAATATAACATGCTGGGAGAGTCTGAAGATGCTCAGGTCCCTCTTAGGACTAAATGTTTTTGCATTGTCCGGAAAACACCTCCAAGCAAATCAGGATTCTTTTAGAATTCAGGAATAGAAGCACTTTAGAGTTGAGGTAGGCCCATTCACTAATCGTTCACTTTTGTGTGGCCTTCAGTTCAGCTCTGACAGTTATAGCATGGAAAGGGAAAGCAGACACACCCTGTCTCCATGACCACTGCTCACACGAGGGACAAAAAGCCGAGTGTACTAGAGGAGCCATACATTCACAGAACGTGTGTGTTTTTCATCCTGTCCCTCTTACAATGTCAAGATTAAGAAGAAATCTTTCCTTTATTCAGGTGTAAAAAATACAAGAGCCAGCCTCAACTTAGCTCTGGCTTTGTACAAATGGTCTCGGTAATGAGCATGCCAACACAATTCTCATGTATTTTTAGATAAGGATGTGATCTGACGAGAATGAATGCTATTTACATTTTAGATTTTGCCTAATCCGAAATTATGAAGTGGAAAAAAACTGAATGTACTCCAAACAAATGTCTTTAATGTACAACAGCAATAGCAGTAGCAACCACCTCCCCGGGTTCAAGGTGTTGAAGGCCAGGGATTCAGGCAAAGAAGTGCTGCAAATCATCAGAGCTTTGAGGAGTGTGGGAGGCAGGGCATTCCTGAGCAGTGGAGATAGGAGAGAAGCATGTGGCAAACTCTAATGGACATGAGGCTCACTCTGTAGTCTCCCAAAGTCAGCTGGAGGTAAAAACAACTGAGAGCATGCATTCATGATGGACTTTAAAACTACGCGCATGGTGTTGAGTCAGGAAAGAGCCAGAAGATAGATGGTGGGAGGGGACAGCAAAGCGAAGTAGAGGCTGTGCCAGTGTGTCACCCATGCCCCCCCTTCCATGCCTGTTGGCATCAAGAGCAAATCGGCTAGGCGCACAAACAATGCTGTAAAAACTCGACTTGAACTGTCTAATTACCATCGGATGGAAGCTTACAAAGACCCCGCCTCTACTTTGGATTTTCTTTTGGGAGCAAAGCTGCTCTCTCTTAAAGGCAATTGTTGCTTTGTAAATGTGCTTAATCCAGAGAAACAGTTTGAATCTCATAGAAGCTTGATTTTAGTGACATGCAGAAGATAATTAAGATGTTTATGAATAGTAGGGCAAGATCCCCCATAATGTTAGTAATTGTATACATGGAAACTGTATTTGTCCAGAAGACAATATGAACTGTAGTTGTCATGAGGATACTTAGTCAAGGGGGCTGGAGAGATGACTCTGGTTAAGAGGACTAGCTGCTCTCCCTGAGGTTCCAAGTTTAATTCCTACCACCTACGTGGCAACTCACAACTGTTTGTAGCATCCTCACACAGACATACATGCAGGCAAAACACCAATGCATGTAACATAAAAATAAATAAATCATTAAAAAATACTTAGTCAAGCCCAGGTTTTACTCATGTATGCCATTTAGAAAGTTGGATCTATTAATTCAGGTTCTACCTATTCCCAATGATTAATGATTAATCTAGAAGCTGAGTTGATAGTCTCCATTGATTAACAAAGCCTTTTCCTTAGATTTCAGTCTTTCATAATATGAAAAACTTTTCACTGCATGTGTAGAGCGAGAAGGAGAATTACAAGGTCTTTGAGTTCCCTAGGGCACGTTGAAATCACCTTTCATTCACAAATCATTAATATGCTAATTAGAAAATGTCTCCATTGATTGAATTGCTTCTCTGGTGACTTATGTTTGCTAACAGTTTGAACGACTTGACTGTAGTATCAGGTTTGATGCTGATTCCATTACACTATTTACAGA